GCTAAGCTTTTTTCTTAAATTTAACTATTAATTTCTGCAAACATTTACATGATTGCTTTAATTAACGAAAAATATTTCTAGCACACTTTAACACACTTTGATATGGAATAATGTTTTGCACTCTATTAAATTTTCCAGTCTAGTTCAGATCTCGTGACTATTATTGATGTAATTTATTAAAAATATAATGGTACTTTTCCGTTTCGCCGGCGCAAATCTCGCCAAGCAGACTTTATTGGCGACAACATACAGTATACACATAAAAAATATTAAAAAAATGTTAGTTCTAAGAATTCCTTTTTCGAAGGCATAAACATTTTAATATCGCTTAAAATTTTATAAAAAGCCAATAAATAAAGACAATAAATTTTTTAAAAAGACATTAATTTAAGAATTTACTATGCTTTCATGGTTCAACATCCTGATTCGCCGGTTTATATCACGTGACACCAAGCGATCTCATCTCACGTAAACTACTCTACAAAAATCTAATGCTCTCAGTAATTATCTACATTAATTTCAAGTTAAATCTTAATTTGGAACACAAGTTTAAATGCAAGAAATATTTCAATTCGTACGAATAGCTTACTCAGAAATTATGTAAAACTGCAGTGCTTTACTTTGCTAATGCATTCTCGTTAGAATTGATGAATTTAACACTTGACTTTACCTTTTCTATATTTTCGGCTTCGGGTTAAGCGCTGTGATTGCATCCTGATTGACTTAATTACCGAAAATGGCCTTAGACATAAAACTGAACTATCTGATAAAAATTCTATGTAATTATATGCCAGTATTGAAAGAAACAATCAATCTGATAAGAAAAAGCTCCGACTTGTTTTGAAAATGAGGCTTAAAAGGTTACCAGCGAGAATATTCCGTTTGGCATCGGTTGTACCATTATTGGCGATTTTATCGCTTGCGCCGGCAAAACGGAAAAGTACCAATATAATTTGTATGCTTTATAATTATTTAATTTATGATATTATTATCATAAATGAAAGATGTTTGTAATGCTAATATGTATGTTTACCAATACCTTTTATTTTCTTTGTTAGCTCTCGCATTTATTACTGTTATTCAAGTAATTAGCCTGCTTGTTAGATATTTTTTACTTGTTCTTGTGATATGTAATTCTATTTATTTATTTTTATTTTCCTCTTGGCTACAATTGGCTTCGTAAAGTTAAATTGTAACCCTGTAGGCAGCAGGGGGGAAGAAATTTTGATTGGCGCAGTTGGACTATAGCTCGACCCGGGGGGGATTTTCATTAGCGCAGTTGGAGTACACCCGAATGGGTAAATAGAAATTTTTAAAACAGTTATTCGAAAGAAACTATGCAGCGTAAACAATTAGAATAAAATTCGAAAAAGAAAAAAATTGCTTAAAATTGATAACAATTATAATTAAAAATATAATATAAAGAACATTATTTGAAAGAAGGAACGATTGAGTCTTTTTTTCCTCTCACGCACTATGTAAAAATGGAAATGAAAATAGGTTGCCACACATTAAGAAGTTCGCCAAGTGAACTAATTTTGGCGCAAACTGAATAAAAAGCGCCTATGAATTTCTCCGTAAATTTCGCACCAAATTTTACAAAGTTTAATATTTGGGCATAATTTGGGTCATAGAATCGAAATATGTAAAAAAATCAGTATGTTATTTCAGAAAAAGTCCGATTTTGTGTCAAAATACCTATGTTAGAATAGTGCTATATATAAATCTAAAATACAGTGAAACCTCCTTACAACAATATTTTAGGGACCAAATAAATATATTGTTGTAGAGAGGCATATTGTTATATCGAGGGCCCACATATTTTGAGCATTTAATAAGAGTTTTTTTATTATTATTATTATTAGTTTAAGGTACATAACATACTACTTTTAAGTCTATATTTAGAAGAAATTAATTTGTAAAATACTAATAATAGTGGTTTAAATACTAAAAAAATAAATAAATAAGATAAATTCAGAAAATAAGCACAGAAATATTCACATACCTGAAAACACTTTTTATGAGACTAATCCAAATTTTTGTTTGTTTATTGATTTTTTTTAACGTTAAGTTCACCAATACTGTATGCATTGAGTCTAGTGCACGAAAATGTTCTTCATTTGTCGACGGAAGGCTTGAAAAAAATGTCCATAGAGAATTCACAGATGAAGAGCTTCCTGGGATGACAATAAGGACTGCGATGGACCTGTATTATCATCATCATCAATATCATCATCATCTTCATCATTGTTTCCTATCTCATCAGTAATTTCAGAGAGAATATCTTCATCAGTAACTCCTGCGAAAACCATAAGATCATCATCTGCTGTTAAATAGTCTTCTATACTAATTCCAAATTTTTTACCGCTTGTTTTCTCAAGTTGGGATACGGATTTTTTGATGTGCAAAACACATTCTTGATCATCTGAGAGATCATTGTCTATGGAATTTTCATCATTATCAGATTTCTTATCTTCCAAAGACAAAGACCGGCCTTTCCCAGCAATTCCGAAGGGTTTTTTTGTTACTTCCCCCACCAACTTCCAGCAATATTGTCACACGCTTCCTTGACATTTACAACTTTGAAAGGATCTTCTACTTATTTTTCAAATTTACAAGTATGGAGTCCACCAACCGTTTTCTGTAATATCCTTTGAAGCACTTAATTATGCCCATATCAAGAGGCTGTAAAATTGAAGTGCAATGGCAGGGAAAAAAGCGATTTCGATATTTTGTAGCTTTGGAAATGACGTGTGAGCACTGCAGTTATCTATCAACAAACCGATTTTTTTCTTTCTCTTCTTCATTTCATTGTCTAACTTCTGTAACCATTCGGAAAAAAAATTAGACGTCATCCAAGCCTTCTTATTTGCTTTATACTCCACGGGAAGACTTTTCACGTTCTTAAAGCACCTTGGCTTCAATGATTTACCAATGACGAGAGGTTGTATTCTATGCGTTCCTGTGCTATTTGTACACAGAAGAACAGTCAGTCTCTGCTTTGATTTCTTCCCTCCATAACACTTTTCACCCTTGAATGCCAATATTCGATCGGGTAGGAGTTGGGAAAACAGCCCAGCTTCATCTGCATTATAAATGTCTTCTGGAGCATACTTTTCTAAGATTGTTTTCATCTTGTTTTGCCGCCATTCATTTGCGTCGTTTATCGGGGCTGACTTTTTCTCTCCGTGAACTTCTTGGAAAGTTATTCCATGACGATCTCGAAAACGCATTAACCAACCATTGCTAGCTTTGAAAGTTTCGTTCCCTAGCATTGCTGCAAATTTCCGTGCTTTTGCACATAATAAAGGTCCATTTATTGGGACATTTGTTGCTCTCATCTCTTGAAACCATTTTAAAACAGCAGCATCAATGTTTCATTTGTCGCAACTTTCAGTCGTTTTCGCTCTGGGTTAATTTCATTTGAAGTTACAGCATCTTCGATTTGCTTTCTCTTCTTTAGGAACGTTGCAACTGTAGATTGCGATAATCCATGTTTCTTAGCCGCATCAATCTGCTTCATTCCCTCATCAATATCATTGATAACGTTCAGTTATCTCGAAAAGATAGTTGCTTTCGCCCTGCCATCTTAGGGAACAATATCGCGTGAAAGAAAGAAAATTTTAAACCAAATGTTTCGCGTAGAACTCAAAATCGTTAAAGACTATAAAACAACCTTTGAACTCACTTTTCAGTACGTCACTTAACAACACCCCGCCTCCATCTCCTCCTGTTCCTCTAACAAAGGGCACTTGTTCTGTGACAAGGTGACCAGACAGGTTTAGATGTCCTTAAACCTTATCAGAATTCCAAAGCTTACTGGGAAATGAGACTAGGCATACATTTACACTTCACCCCCTCACCCACTCCAATTCCCAAAAGGGTAGTCTTCATCTGTTTTGAAATCTGAACAATAGCTATTTATTCAGGGATAAGTTGAATATCCACAATGAGTCTTAATAGACGGAAAAAATAACAAAAGAAAACAGAAGAAAAGAAAAAAAAAAAAAAAAAAAAAAAATAAAAAAAAAAAAAAAAAAGTTTGAAAATCAAAATATTATTATAAAGGGAGAAAATAATACTGAAATTTAGATTGAAAAAAATCGTTTTACAGAGGTTTATTGTTCTAGAGAATATAGCAATATTGAGGGGAGATTAACATTAGTTTATATGCAAAATCACCGTGACCACAAAACATCATTGTAGTAGAGGGAGTTATTGTTGTAGCGAGAGTTTACTGTATATCCTAAGTCGCGCTTTCGAGACATAAAGAACGCAATTTGAATTTCGTGAATCGGCCCGGTAGAACGGGAGATATAGAACTTTTTTTTTTTTTTTTTTTTTTTTTTTTTTGAGCAGTGTACATTTGCCAACCAAGGCTACCTAGTATAGGTTTTTCGTGCATCAGTTGCAAGTTTTAAATAATTTTCTAACCAAAATTTTTTTTCTCGTAATCTATTTTGTTCTTTATGTATAATTTTAATTTCAATTGCAGGCGCGTCGGGAAAAGAAGCGAAGCCATTGAGGCTTAACTATTACGCTTTTTCCCTGATAAGTCCGTAAGAAATCTCGAATTGTGCTAATTTACCATTTTTTGCTATTCTTTGTATATAATTTCTTTGTCTTTAAAATGTTTTTGTTTGCGTATATTATATAAAATTTCTGATTGTAAAAATTTTTTTTAGTCTTTACTTAATCCATTTTTGTTTTTGAAGTATATATTGTTAGAATTATTACAGTAGGTTTCTTCGCGTTAACTTCTACTGCTTTAATATTGTATTCTTGTTTATACTTGGTGTAACTTCTTTACTCTGGAACTGCAGTATCAAATGTGCCTTAAAGCATTAGCTTATTTTTACTTTCCTCTTCTGTGCAAGTATATATATATAATATATAATAGCTAATATATATATAATAGTTTAGTTAATATATACAACTAAATCGATAAAAAGTTCCTTGAATTAGTTTTACATTTTTTCCTGATGTATTTTTTTTAATAGAATACCTCTCAGCATTCTGCACCGCTTGCTAACAGTTCATGACATCCCTTTGCTGTTTAGTAGTCTAATTTATGAGCCACCCTGGATAAGAGGAAAGGCAAAAAAAGAAAAATATGATGATGGCAAATGGATTGCTCTTAAGCCTGAAAAATTCATGAAAATAAGCAAGGCGGAAGGACAGGTACCAAATGTCTTTGTTTAAACATTAGATCATATAATTGCAATGATATGAAGAAATAACAAACTGCAATTTCCTCTTACGTTCAGGGATGAATAACTTTTTTCCGATCTATTAAAGATCTTTTTCTACCTGGGTATTATTTTAAAACTGAGAATACTAACGACTTTAAACATAGAATTTTTCATTTCTATCGACAACACTGTTAAAAAGCGACTGGTGAAAGATGATGTTAAGTAGTCCATTAAATTTATAGCAAAATAATACAACGCATTTCCTAACTCAAGGGTTCTGAAAGAGATAAAAGAAGGGGGCATATCTATGGTTTTCATTAACAGATGAATATGTTTCAATATAAATACATTTCTTTCAGACAAATTTTGTTATGCAGTTTCTGAAAATTTCCATGGATAACAAGATCTAATTTCTTTGTTTTTAAGCAGCAAATTCAAAAGAAAAATAACCTTTAAAAATTAGACAGAGAACCAATACATACGAATTAAACTGTTTATGCATGTATAGGTAAAAGTATTATTATAGTATATGTAATGGTGATGAAACTCGAATGAGGCTCTAGATTGTTAATAAGTTCTAAATTCCACAATTGAAGCGTTAGCAAAATCGTACTGTTTTAGCATGTTTCAACAATGCGCGGAAGTTATTTAAAAGATCATTTCTGATCGGAAATTATGTAATTTATAATAGGATAACTGAATGATAAAATCTGTGTTTACATTGTTAAAGTAACGATGCAAAACTCGTAAAAAGTTGAAATAAATTATATTTTTACTGCCATATTCTACAGATCTGAAGGAGGAATATCACGCTAATATCTAGGAAAGAAAACATGGAATATTTTATGTTAATTAATTATTAGGATTTAAAATCCTTACTATAACTTTTTCTTTCCGTATTCCTCATACATCAAGGATTCGAATTAGATTGTACTGTATTTAAGTCAGGAGTTTTGAATATAGGCTTTGCAGCGTCGCCAGCAGTTTACATTCTATCGCATAGCTCTGCCAGTGAACAGTTTCGCTTTAGCCATTTCGCTGGTCGATGTTGAAACGCGTCATTAAAAATTTTAAGGTAGTTTAAGTAGATCAATTTATGCAGTTTCCGACTACCATACTTTGAATTCGAAATTTCAACTTATATTGTTTTAAATATCGCAAGGAGCGGACTTTCTTTATACGCACGAGGTGTGCTTTCTATTCGTTTAAATAGTTAATAAAAAGGTCATTTAAACCTTCGAAGACTTTGTCATAATATTTCAAACGGGGTGACAATTCGCTTATCAGTCTAATTAGGTCTGAAGAACTCTGGGTTAATTTTACACAATTAGGACCCTGTATAGTTTTCTATCATGTGTTACACATTTCTGTAAAACACTATTTTGCTCGTATCTTCAGTATGTTCGTTAAATATAACTCTTATAATTTAAATGGAAATCATATTCCATACCTACTCTGTTGCGATTAATTTTCTAAATTCTTTAAAGGTCTGGATATGCTTAATGCAACTGCTATTAGGACAAGATTGCCAAAGAAAGTATGATATCAGTGACTTCAGAAAAGAACAATTCCTAAAGGTATCTTTTGTAATTTATTGAAATACTTTATACTGTTTTCTTAATGGACTATTTTTAACAGTTGTAAAACACGGAAGAAATAAATTGAAGCTATAGGTATGATTTTAGGAATCAAAAAATAAATCTCTGTTAGAAAGAAATCATTTCCTTCAACAGAGGTCCTGCGCTTTTTGTATTATATAATAAGTAAAATTAAGAATTCCTGAAGTGCAAGAAGACTTGAAAATATTTATTAAGATATTTTCCTCAGATATAAAAAAATTATTCATATAATCTGATCTTCTTACTTCCGTGTTTACGCTATATAATGTATTTTAAAGTGTTACATAGTATATAGAAATAAGTAAAGCAATGACATAAGAATTGTCACTTTCAAAATTCGATAGTATAGTACTGTTAAAGAAGCCAATTCTCAAAAAGTGCTAGAAATATCCTAATTCCTTCTTCTGTCTATAATTTTCTTTTTTACGCAGCATAATAATGAAAAAGAATATTTTACTTTACCAACTATTTCTCAGATATAATTATTTTATTGCTAATCATTCTTTTTTTAGAGTAAGATGACACGTATTCAAATTATAAATAAATAATTTAATAAAATTGTTGATGTTTAAAAATAAAATAAAATGTAATATTTTCAATTTATTCAACAGCTGCGATCAAGAATAAATGAGCATTATATAGATCAAATGCCAATCCTAAACGAATTGTTACGTTTCCTGGAACACCTTAGTTTATTCGATGCTCCTTTGCCAAAGACTAGTATTGTGATTGAACAGGTAATTAACTCAAAATTTATTTGTGCAAAAATTACACTAATAAGTATCATTATGAAGAAATTAAAATAATCTTTTATCATACAAATAGGTTCCAGAAATAAGAGAAAGCATATTTCAAAAAAATAAAAGAAAATGGGAGGATATTGCTGTGAAGCAAATAGAAGAATACTTCAGTCTTTCAGAAACGGATCTTCGAGAACTTTGCAAAAAGTATGATCATGACTTTTTCAGTACAACTAGCTCAAGAAATTATCATGATCAAACTTATTACTCTAATTTTAAGATATATTTACATATGTCATTTAATGTACTACGTGCATAGGTTCAACTTAAAGTAAACTTTCAATTAGCCGGGCCTTCTCTAAAAAATTGTTAATTTATTAATTTCTAAAAACGATGGAAAAATTACTACCAATTAACATCAACTTTACGATGTTTGAACTATATGTGCATTTCATATTCTCTCTGGATTCGCAATACTTGGTTCACATAAGGACGGGCGTCTTATGCGTCCTACATTTTTGTTACAGCTCGGCACATATTCAGTGAACAAAGGAGGCAGCCGCAAAGCGTCTTGTTAGGAGGAAGGCGTAAGCGAAAGTATCGCAGCAATTCAGAGGAAGGGAGTCAAAAGTTTCAGTTTGAGTCAATAAAGTTTTGGTTTACAATTATTTAGTAATTGGGCAAAAGGTATCTGCATTAAGCGTCACGTAGGATCGCATGATTAATTTGAATAACGCAGTTTATAATTGTAGCGTTATTTTTAAGATAGAGGGGGGAGTCCCCAAATTAAATGAAAAATAAGAGTTATAGCCAACTGAAATTAGAAGTTTGCTTTCATATTTTTTTATCTGACATATATATATATAGGTAAAAATGACGAAATGTTGATTGCATAGATAGATATTGAAGCTTGCATAGAAGTTCCGTGAAGAAGAACAAACTTAACAGCCGAGGCAGATTTAATAAGAAGCAGTCGTGGCCAGTTTCATATCTATCTCTATTTATATGAATTGTCATTTGCCGCCACAAATAAATTGGTACGTTAATCGCACCCGTTCCAAAACACTTACATTTCTGATACCATTGCGGTAAGAAGAGAGCAGCGCAACAGCAATCTAGTTAGGCCGAGAAGCAGTAGCGAAGTGTGATGTGCTCAGGAAAAAATTTTAATTCAGAGTGATTTAGTTTCGCCTTCGATACATTTTGGTTGACTAATTAATAAAGTTCTAACATTGGCTGAATTATTATTTTCATCAGAACGTTATGTAGTGATATATGAAAGTCATATGAAACGGATTAATCTAGAAAAGTATTCTAAAAATAGCAATTACATAATAAGCAATTGCTATTTTTAGAATAGAAAGGGTAAATACCCGAATTAAAATGAAGAGTTAAGGGGCTATTGAAAGTTTAAAGTTAGCAGTTTGCTTTCATATTTTTAGCTTACATATTTACTTTAAATAACCACTAACTGAAAAATTTGATAAACCAAAAATAATGTACATTGTCCTCAAGGAGGTAACGAATTATTATGTAATTATGATTTAGATACAAAGTAAGAATGTGTATTTTAGCAGGCTTTGTTTGATTTGTTAAAATATAATTAATTCAAGGGAGTGTAGTCGGAGTTAAAAAAGGAGATCTGTATCTGTGACTTGTATTTAGGTTAGTTTAAATTATCTATAGGCAGACAGCCCCAGTGGCAGACCTACAGCTATCGAGAAAGAAAAGAGAAAAAGCTAAAACTGCTTTTCTTGCGAGTTTTGACTTTTTTATAGTTTTATCAAAACTTGTGTTTTTTAGCCACTGCATTTTAAATGGAAAAGACTACCAAACCGTTAAGTCCTACTTGGCTCATTGTTGATCGAAGATAGCTTCTTATCACCTTGAACTTTGAAATGCTTCTCTAGCAATAAGCAACTGAAACATACTGAAAATCCATTCCCACAACGAACTTTAACATTTTCAGTTCATGTGTGTAGCTTTATTTACATTCCTACATACAGGTACATGTACTTAAAAATTTAAGGTTCTTCAGAGCCCTCCCCCCTGATTAGCGGGCTGAGGTGGTCCTCTTCCCTCTCGGTCCTCCCTACCTTGCTTTACCGTAATCAAATAAACCAAACCAAATAATCTATATGACATTATTTGAAAATTTACCGTTTCATTTAACACGTGATTTAATTTTAAAAAGTTTAGTTTGAAGTAATATTTTATTAGGATCAAAGAACAGTTTTAATTCTCTGATGCAAATACCGTAACTTAACCGTGAAATAGAGTTATCAAACCAAATAGGAAACTCTGGTATCTTTTCCAAGGGGAAAAAAAGCTAAGAAAAGAAGTTTTATTTTTTATTTAATAATGTTAATATTCTTTTCGAACTTTGTCGTGCTTAAAATTATTTAAAAAGTTTCGGTTCTTTTGTTGTTTACGATATCTATAGTCAATGCTTTCTGTTGCAAATATAAATTTTTAATATTATTTAAAATGAAGCAAGTGGTTGAGATATAAGTGCACACTGAATCTTTTCAAAAATGCCATCATTTAATTAAAATAGTTTCTATAGTTGGCTTTTTAACGTGCATTCAAACCAGTTAGTTTTGACTTTTTAGTTACTTCCTATGTAACGATTAAAATATATTTTGCGATCACCGTTCCTTTTTTTTTTCTCCAAGTTAAATTAAGCTTAAATTATTTTTTCGCTTAGGGGGTTCCAGTTTCTCATTATACTCTTTTTTCTTAACGAAATGTATATTTATTTTTCCAAACGTAATTTTTTTAATCATCAGCATTTTCACATTTTAAAAATGTAAGGGCCACTGAACTAGTTTTTGCGCTAGTGACTAACCCCATTCAACCTTGCTAAATCCCTGTCCCCAAAATTGGTATAATGGAATATATACAGGTAAGGAAATGAAAATTATGCAACTAAATGGTTGATAATCGAAGAAAAAAGGACGAAAGAGGCCAAAATCATTCTACAACCACAATGCAATACTTTATTATCAGAAGAAAAGGGGGATAATCAGTTATTCATTTTATGGTTTTAAAAGCAGTAAAATTTAATGATAATCAGATTTTAAATCAGGCAACATTCTCGGTAATGAGACGGCTAAGCGACACGAATGATAAATGCTTTCGGCTTGCTGATAAATGCTTAAGTATTCTATGATGACACTGAAAACCTTGGAACTAAGCCTAATGTATTTACATTTATTCCTTTTGCTTAAATTTACGGTCGAAATCTTGTTAATTCCGTATAAACTCTCTTCATTATACTCTCCTATAAAGTTTACTAATATTTTTAGTATTTATTTATGGATATTGTAATAAATCCGTAAATGAAAAATATATATATATGCCCAACTCCTACTTCTTTCGTAAATTCAGTATTTTTAAAAAGCAAAAATTTACTGTTTCTGTATTTTATACGAAAAGAGGCTAAACCATAGAAAGAACTAGATTTTTTCCCGAAACGTAAATCTGAAAAATCAGGTGTGCTATCGCGGTAATTAACACACAAGTCTTCTAGTTGTTATTGTTTGTTACTTTAAGATAGTCATTTCAAGGTCGTAACGAGCCTCCTTTCCCTTCGTAACGTATGTCGTCATCATCTCATAGAGAGAATTAGTAGATTAGAGCATTCGACTGCCGTCTACAGCAATCGTGGCATCGACTACCGTCAACAGCAATCGTTAACACGGTTACGATGCAAGCCTGAACAGAAAAAAAATGGCCTTGACAAGCCTATTCTAAAGTAGCAGACTCCAAAGTAACAGTTGAATGTACTAACTCTTTACACCACTAGAACACAAACAGAGGAAAGCAATAATTCATTTACATTCCCCTCACTTAAAGGCTGATTGCGAAGGGGCACGAAATCTAGTCGATTATATCTAGATGGCGAGGAGTTATTATCCATTACAGTTTTGTTCAAGGGCCAGTGTACAGACTTCTAGTAAATTTGCCAGAATTCAAACTACAAATCTGCAGGTTTGCTAGCGAGACATGTTAACCACTTGCATCAAGCACGCACGCATGGGGGGAATGCTACAATTCCTTCACAAAGTGATTTTTGATTTTATGAATAGCAGACGCATTTTTTGCTAAAATTTGCTAATAAATTCGTATATCTCATGGAATTATGAATGCTCTTTTCTAATATTTTTCCTAAGTTTTCACAGATGTTAAAATTCTGGTTATTTGTAAATAATAATAAAAATGCCATAAATTTATATATGAATAGTAAAATGACAATTTAAAAGCTGAAATTAAATCTATTGTAATTCCGGTTTTAAAGCATTTGCTACAAAATATTACCACTTAAGTTTTCTTTGTAGTTGTCAATTCTTGCAATAATAGCAATAATAAAAATAGTGCTGATCATTTTAAGTAATAGTTTAAGATATTTTTTGAAATAACAGCATTTTCCTGTGTTATTATTTTCTTTTTTAAAAGGTTAAGTGGATCTTTTGATTTAAAATATCTAGAAGCTATGTGCCCAGATACAAGTGCATGTGCAAGCAGTGTGAATACAACCTAGAAAAGAATATTCAAGAAAGCGAATTTCATAATAAAGGTAATTTTTAATGACTGAAATAATAACTTATCAATTTATTAAGCTTAAATTATTTTTTCGCTTACCTATACCCCTCCAAGAGAAGGGTTAGCAATCCAGGTAGCATTTATTTGCATTTCTATGAAATCCAAGTTCCTTTTTTTTTCTTCTTCTTTTAAGTACAGTATTTAAAATAATACAAAAGACATTGATTAATGCAAACAATGCAGTAACATGCTCAAGTTCTAAAAATTTAAATTTCATTTAGTAACCAGATCAACAAGTTTAAACACAATTAAGAAAGTTGAAGTTGAACCATTAAAAAAGGTCATGTTAGATACTTATAATTAGTATATGAGCTGGATTTTTAAATGCTTTTAATTTTGAAACAAGCATTCTTGTTTTAGACAAATTATACTGAAATAAAACTGATTAAAATAGATGCTCACACTCTTCATTAAAATCAAATTTCTTCAAAAAAATATATATTATTTCGTGTCTAAATTCAGCCCCTTTGCATATACCCCTTTGCAAGCATCCTAAGGTTTGTAAGAAACAAGATAATATAAACGTGATCTGATAAGTACTAACTGCATACAGTTGAAAGCACCCTTAACACACTTTTATTTGGTTGCTAAGAAGGTATCTGTTTGGGAAATTTAGACCCGAAAATATACTTTTTTGAAGGTGTAAGAAACAAGGTGTAATATAATAAGAGAGAGAAATACCAATATAAAATCTAAAATTCTGCAAAATACCAACTTTACACAGATATATATGTCATAATAGAGCAAGGAAAGGTAAAAGACGGAACACTGTTGATGCGTAGTTATGCTATATTGAAGAAGAAGTATTCTGATTGCATCGTAAGCTAATATGTTGACTTCGTAAATAAAACTGGGCAGTCGAGGCGATTTTAATTCCATTTTTATTTCCATTTGACATTATGTAGCCACAGACCACTTGGCACCCTAATCGTGCCTGTTCAAGAACATTTACATTATTGATAGTATTGCAATGGGAAGCAGCGTGGCGAAATTGCGTCCAAGCATAGCACAGACAGAAGCTGAAATGCGTAGTTTTAAAAGATGGAAGCACGCGAAGAGAAAAGTTTTGGTTTATAATGGTTTCAGTTCCCAATAATTAAGTCATCCGAGCTGCGCAGGCCATAGAATGATCTAGAAATGACGCAATCCAGAGAATTTATTGCGATTTTTAGAATAGAGAGGGACAATTAATGTTTTACCGTTAGTTTAAATTATAATTTTGATTCACATATTTTTTATCTTACATATATATATAAACTTCGTTTCAAGGGCAACGTTTAGGCTGTGACACCACCAAGGATGATCACTCACCTGACTTTCCCTGGAAATGATTTTCAGTCTTTAGTCATCCTGGTAGAAAATACCATCGGAAACTACCTATACCCCTCCAAGAGAAGGGTTAGCAATCCTGATAGCATTTATTACAATTTCAGAAATATATACATTTACAGTTACATTGTGTATTTCATATATGAAATATTTTTCATCATACATACGTAATTGTATTGTATAAAAGTTCATGTTACATAAATTCATGATTCTAACTTTGACACGTGGGTCCAGAATAATGATGAGACATAATTCCATGATATGACCATGATACATAGATCGATGATACATAAGTGCATGATTATCATCATGCATAAATTATAAGTCATTCAGTAGCCTTTGTATCTACTGAGGCATAATGTAATGTACCGCACAATAGTTGATAATTTCATTTACTAGTTTCCTTTTAATTTTGCCACATCAAATGATTTAACCTATCCCTTGTGGCCAAAACTGTTCTATCAGAGACTGAAGATGATTATTGGCTATTAAGCAGCAGTTGAATACAAAATGATCGGGGTTACCCACCTTACCACAGGACTTGCTTCTGAAACGCCTTACGTATATGCTCTACTGCTCACGGCCCTCAGACTGCCAGCCTGAACTTGATCAGTTTTTGCTTGCACATAAAAGGTTTCACACCCACTCTCACGAACCAAAGCGTAGTAAAAAGACCTTAATGCATTTTTACTGATCTCTGTTTTTACTAGTTCATCTAATTTGATTTTGGATTATTTGACTGTGACATTATGTCCATTGTCAAATTTATTCTTACACGATTTCGAAATTTGGAAGTTGCTACCCAACACTCGGAGATTACTGGAGACGACTTGTTTGACTGCACATCCCTGAGGAAAATAATCGGACTTTTTACCACCCCTCTACTCATCGATGAACAGGAAACTAGCGTTTGAACCGTTTAGAAACTCTACCGAGACCATTTCAGACCAGGAGCAGGATATCGAATGGAAAACGTCCAGTACAAGCGTTAAGAGGCCGGCTAGCCCTGACATCATAATCACTGAGATACAGAATAGATTCAAGGGATTCACGGACTTGCCGGATGATGACAGCACCCCTGAATTTGATACCTTCACTCACAGTACTAAATTTAGTGGTTCTATGACGCTGCAACGTAAGCAGAAGACGAGAAACGCTAAAAGGCCTAACAACGTCCCAACACTTGATGTAGTTATCCCTAAAATCTCCCACGAGGTAGAAGCCAGCAGCCACGCTTAAGTGGAGCCATCTATTGACCCAACTGAAAAAGCCGGTGTACCCAACTAATCGCAGACGAATAACCTGGTGCGGACAATCGGTAGTGCAGTTGAGCTCACGTATCCGGACGGGCAATCACCGATGCTCAAGCTGCAGATGCTAGTAATACCCCCACACAAAGGGCAATTCACACTCCCAGATAGGCCGGCTAAGATGTCGCCAATCTGTATCAGAAACTGCAAATACAGTTGGGGAAAGTCTTTACTGAAATGGTTTGAAAAAAAATGGACTTACAGACTTCAAAAAAGAAGGGCGACGGAAAGTTCAAAATTCACACCAAGAATTCTGACACCTTCAAAAAGATGATGAGGCTATTTGGTACTCACTAGTTGTCATATCACTCCTTCCTTTTCCCTGAGGAGAAAAATCTTAAGGTGGTGATACGCAACATTCTCATAGATGCTGACCCGGTTTCCATACAAGAAAAACTCAGACGAAAAGACTTTGACGCTATTCAAATGGAACAGCTTACGAAGGGCAGAGGATCCGATAGGGTTATGATGCTTCTATTCTTGGTTACCCTATCCAAGACCTCCATAAACTTATCAGGTGAAATTCCTTATGTATATACACATAAAATTTGAAAGGTATCGTGGTTGGAGAGGGCCGACTCAATGTTTCAGTTGCCAGAGATTTCAACATGAGCAGGCGGCGTGTGACCACCCGCCTCGCTTTGCAAATGCGCCGGAGATTACGAAAGCCACGACTGCCCGGAACCTAAATAATCCGAAAGCAAGTGCTTTAATTTCCTTGTGAAACACACTAATAATTGGAAAGGGTGCGAGGTATCCTAAACAGAAACCAAACACCATAAATTTAAAGAGAGAGTTATCATCAACGAATCGTACGCCCAGGCTGCAAAAACTAACATTATTGCGGAGGAAATACGAAAAGCGGTTACTGACGCCCAAAAAGTAATGAAAAATCTTGCTGACGTAAACACCCTACTACATCAATCAACTAACAATGCCACAGTGTCAAATACAGTAAGGCTCGAGAATGTAAACAACTATGGATCATAGGTCTCTTACCAAAATAACCCCTGTGACTATCTTAAACTGGAATGCGCAGAACTCAAAAATCGGGGAATTCCAGGATTTCCTATTTAAATACAACATAGACATCGCACTCATCAGAGATACACATGCGACCCCAGCACCCTCACTTAAGCAATGCAAACTATCGTTGCGACAGAGTAAGACAGAGAGGTGGCGGAGCATTTATATATATAAAAAAGTCTGGAGTCATGTTTTTACGAATACCCAGGGCTTCGAAGCAGTCAGCGATATTGTCCAAACTATGAAAATACGGTATTCTAAACTATGAAAATACGGTACTATGTGCGTTATATAATACCCCTGACATTAGACAGCATGATCATAAACTTGCTCAGCAGCCCCTTTCCAACCACTGTTGGCGGTGATCTCAACGCTAAATATGTTAGCTGGGGATACCGTCGGTCTAATAAGAAAGGGAGAAATTATTTTCAATATTCTATACAGCAACTCATTCTATATTTACCCCCCTGGAGACTACACATTCCGTCCCACAAATCTAAGACACCACCTCGGCATGTTAGATCTCCTTCTTACTTCAGAAAATATCCCGATTAGCATCGAAGACATCAATGATCTCTCCTCCGATCATGTCCCACTAATCGCGCACGTTGGAATTATTAAATTTGAAATAAATAACACGTACAAAGTCACGGAATGGAACGGAACTTCAACAATCACATCAGCCAACAGCCCTCTGTCATTGGGCCCCTTAAAACAATCAATGATATCAATTAAGAAATTTTAAATGTCAACAAGTGCATAGAAAATTCCCTTAAAATACCACTGAATTCACCAGCAAAACACATCATTTCAAGCTCCCGCATAACATTAAAACCGTCATCCAATCACGTAACAGGCTGCGCGAAATCTACACTGGTGTGCAAAAATTATGGACGAAGTCGAAAAATTAGCATATCAGCTGAACGAAGAGGCAGAGCGGACAGAAAGACCAATCAGGGGATTAAGTAAGGTGATGTACGGTAGCACATGCGCAAATATGCAGGTAGACGTAATGGGGGAGTGTCTGAGTAGTGTAAAGCATGTTGTCGGTGTAAGATCAGTATTTCTGGCAAAGAGATTGCCGTATAGTTTTTTTTTTTTTTTTTTTTTTTTTTTTTTTTTTTTTTTTTTTTTTTGTTTTTAGCAGTTAAAATCACATCGAGTTGCTGCCTCAGCGAGAAATGGCGAATAATCAATCTGTTAGACGACATCTGGATGCTTTTACCCGAGGTCGAATCATTGGGAAGTTGGAGGAAGGCCGCAGTGTGACAAGTGTGGCTGCAGAGTACAGAATTGCTCACAGCATCGT